AACTACGACCGGGGCAATACTTTTCGTCGTTTTCAGTACTCAAGGAAGCAAATAAGTGTTCCTAGCCATGAATCAAATGTCCATTTTGCCTGAATTCGCCTCTTCATGTTGCTTGATAGTGTAACGTATTAAGCTATTGCGTTTACACACATGCACGATGTGCGCATTCAGGGCAAAAGCCACTTTTAGGTTACTTTTTTGTTTTAAACGCAGCCAAAGTCATATGTATTTTTATGCCGCCGTAGCGAAATATCACGACAAGGAAAAAATTCTTTTCGTTATTGTGCGACTAACATGCCTTAAATATGGGGCTGCTAACTTTATGAATAGTTAGAGCTTTTTATTCAAGTGACATTTCAAAAGAGGGTTTTATTATGTAAATTAAAAGTAGCCGCATGTATCTAACACCACTGTTGTCGAAGAAGTACATCCTTAGACGACTTTGCGGCTTTCAAATTTTTTTACAAAGGTCAACAAGGAGACCTCCGTGGGCAAGTAGACGTAGAAATAAGATTTTTGGCTACAAGCATTTTTATATTCAAACGTGTCATGTTTGACTGTAAAAATTGTTTATGCTAAAACAATACCATGGACCTAATAAACCATTAATTTTTGTTTAAAACCCCGGATATAGAGTACGGCATAAAATTCACGTAACATGCCGACATATGCGAAATCTTGATACTCTCTCACTAATCTGTATTGAGTAAGTTTTTAGTACTGATTGTCACGATAGGATTCCGGCTTTTAAACGATCCTCTTTCTCGCCGCTAACATGGCGTATGTACTGTTGAAAGTGGCTACTAAAGTCCTATGCACTTATATCATTGATTTTATTGCCTTTATAAATTTCATAGTGTTGTACACAAAATAAACACGAAAAAATACTTCTTGTACTCGTTTTTATACATAAGGAAGGGATAGCTTTCGGTTTTATAATAGTTTCTAATTATGAGCTTTTTTACGATTGTGAGTCGTTCAGTCACTATACATCACATCTATTTATTTATTTATGCTGCCTATAATGTATACAGCATGATCCACATCTATTGCAGCATTTAATGAGAACTATGTGACTTCTTCCTCAAACCATAGGCGAAAACGTACTTTTCCTTAAGCACGATATAGACAGCGCGCAGTTTGTAAACAATTAGTTAAAGTGTAGCTGTCAGTAGGTTTAACAATTATTTGGCAATTAACAAGCATTTTTAAAACCGAGAGATACGCTTTCTTTGAGTAGAAAATTTAAAGAAGACGTAATTTCCTACCTAACAGATACAAGAAATAATTGTTCTGCATGTTTTTCATAAAATATATTTAAATTATAAAGGCGGTCAAAATCAATGATAAAAATCCATATTACTTTAGTAGTCACTTTTTACAGCACACACATTTTGTTAGCGGTCAGAGGGAGGTTCGTCAGAAACCTGGCATCCGATCGTGACTGAAATGGCTTCATAATAGACTACATGGTAATCACTATTACAACCTTCCTCAATGACAAAAAGCGAAAGGCTAGCAATCTTTTGCATAAATTGGCATATTACACGAAGT